GCCGCGCATGCGCAGGGCGACCCGCCTCAGCGCCGCGCCCGGGAAGGGAAGGGGAAGGAAGGGGGGAGGCTTAAAGGCCCAGAGGCCGGGAGCCTTGTTGCTCATGGAGCCACAGAACGTCTCGAGTGGGAAGGGAGGCGTGGGGGTCATGGAGCCCAAGTCCCTGCTGCGCTCCTCCTCCCCACTACCTAAAACTAAGCTGTGTGACCAAGAGCATCGTTCAGGTGCTCCCTGGGCTCTGACAGGTGCCGTGACTGCTTCCCTGGGGAGCCCGTTCCAGGGACCAGCTGCCCTCCCAGTGAAGAGCCTTTTCTTCACGTCCAGTTTGAACTTGCCCTGACACTGCTTCATTTCATCTCCTTGTGTCTTCCCACTGTCCTTCTCACGTGAAAACCGAGCTGTTCCTACCTGTCACGCCAGACGTGGCGAGCAGCTCGGTTTCCGTTCAGGTCATGCACTGTGGTTTCTGCATCCGGAAGCAGCAACAACAAACAGTGTCCTGTTCTGTACTGGTGCTGTTGGCGTATGGGTACATGTAGTTTGAAGGCCCTCCTGTGAAGTCAGTGATCAGCTCTTACCTCTGTGTTCTCTGTCAGCGTTTAAGCTCCGGCGTTGAGGAGGACGCTTGACACAGGAATGTGGCAGCCAAGTTGGGAGAGAGTAAGAATGGGCACCTGAGGTGTGCAGATAGCAGAATGGGGATCAGATGGTGACCGGGATTAGAACAAAGGAACACAGTGCAGGCAGGAAAACTGTGGCCAGGAATTAGCTAAGGTGAAACATAAAACAGGCCTGGAAGAGGCTGCAAGGCCCTGAAGAGCTGCTCCTGCACCTGCATCTGATGGCTGTGAGTTACATGGCTATGTACCATTTACTGCCTAAGTTTTGACAGTTCCTAACCGCTCAATGCTGAAGTGTGTTGCTTTATGAATATTGCATCAAGGAAAACGATGGGAAATGACAAGGTTTGCCTCATGACCGTAGCATTACCCTCGTGTACATTATTCATAGAAACATAGAATGCCAGGTTGAAAGGGATCTCAAGGACCATCATGCATCAAAAGAAGCATGGCCAGAAGGTGAAGGGAGGTGATTCTCCCCCTCTACTTTGCTCTAGTGAGACCTCAGATGGAGTACTGTGTCCAGCTCTGGAGCCCCCAACACAAGAAGGACATGGAGTTGTTGGAGTGAGTCCAGAGAAGAGAGCTGGGGTTGTTCAGCCTGGAGAAGAGAAGGCTCCATAGAGGCTTCATAGTGGCCTTCCAGTACCTGAAGAGGCTACAGGGAAGCTGGGGAGGGACTCTTTTACTAAGGCTTGTAGCAAGAGGACAAGGGCTAATGACTTAAAACTTGAAAAGGGGAGATTTAGGTCAAACGTTAGGAGGAAATTCTTCACTATGAGGGTGGTGAGACACTGGAAGAGGTTGCCCAGGGAAGTTGTGGAAGCCCCATCCCTAGAAGGCTTCAAGAACAAGTTTGATGGGACTCTGAGCAATCTGATCTAGTGGGAGGTGTCCCTGACTATGGATGGGGGTTGGATCTAGATGATCTTTAAGGTTCCTTCCAACCCAAACCATTCTATGATTCTACGATCATCTGGTCCAACCCTTCTCGCTAGGAACAAGGCTTAAATGAGATGGCCCAGCACCTTGTCCATCTTACAAGTGCCCAGTGTTGGGGAATCCATCACTTCCCTGGGGAGATTATTCCAATGTCTGACTGCTCTCATCGTGAGAACACTCTGCACGCTGTTCACTCGCTGTGAGCTGGCTGCCCACCAGGACCCCCAGCTCCCTTGCACAGCCCTGTTCTCCACACAGGTGGGTCCCAGTCTGCGCTGCGCTCCTGGGTTGTTTCCCTTTGAGACCGCACGTTTGCTCGGGCTTTTTTTTTCTGGGGGTTTATCTCCTTTTGCGTGTTTTAAAGGCGTGTTTTGCGGAGCTCAGTGATTTCCTTTGCTTTTTCCAGTTCCCAGTGCTACTCAGCCCCTTCCTTGCCTGCCCGCACCCGCCAACCCAGCTCCGAGCTCCGACCGCCGCCCCGGGACCCGCCCCGGGACTGCCGAGTTACCGATCGGCCCGCACCGCTCCTTACCGATCCAGACATCGGGAATCGGCTACAAAGCCCCGCGCCGTCGGAAGGGGCGTGGGAGGAAGAGCGAGGCCCAGCGGAGCAGGGTAGAGTGGCCGGCGGGGGTTTTGCGGGGGTCCGGCG